AATGAATTTGAACAATGAACCCATCTTATTTCTTAAAAAAAAAATAAAATAGCATGAATCTAACAGTATTGTACAGTTGGGTCAGTCAGTTTGTCTCTCTCTCATCACTCAATCAAATGAATCATCATTCTATTCAACACCTACATGTACATGTACTTGTGTCACTATATGTGCTATGTTTAAAATGAAAATTTAGGTCAACACAGTAGAGTATAATGGTTAAGGGTTGTGCCTATGAATTAGTCAATAATAATCATTACCCATGCATTTTCTGTTTCATATATCACATGTACATGTTGGTTAAAACTTTAACCATTATGTGCTCTATATGTATGTGTACATGTGCATGTGGATGGAATGCACTGATATAACAACGCATGTTTTAGTAATGTACTCTGGTCTATAGATGTACATGTATATGTAGCTCAGGAAGAAATCACTGACACAGAATTAACCTGGTTAATTCTGTTTAACAGGCTCTTAGCAACTAGCTGTGACAATTACAAATGATCAATTATATTTTGTTTGAGACAAGTTTTCAAACTCACAACTGCACGGTAGTAGTCTGGGGGTCCAACATCAAATTGGCACAAAACCAAACCCATCTTTTCTTTAGTAAAATTTTGCGTAAAATATGTTGCCGATTTGCCGTTGGGACGTTTTCGAGATATTCGGGGTGAAAGGTCAAATGAGGTAAGTTGCACTGAAAGTGAATGTGCCTATCATGAAAACTTAATCACCCTTTCAATTAAAATGTAAACTTGCTAAATTCACCATTGTTCTTTGTGACTTTGGAGGTCAAAATGTCGAATTTTCTGTTTTTGCACTAGGAAGATTTAAATCAATACATGTTAATGTCAGCGTAAAATATAAAAACTAAAGCGAAACCTTTATTAATAATAGGAACATTTAAAATTTATCTTTAGGTGGTTTTAGCACTGTAGGTTTACGTTGTGAAAATGATCTTGCAGAACCAATACACTTCGAAATCTGTTTAAAAAATATGTACAACTGTCAAATCAAATCTCTCTGATTTACAATGATTGCTATATATAATGAAACTAGTTGTCCGAAAAAGCAATTGAATAGTTTCATGGCTGGACTATAGAGAAGCTGGTCTGGTTTTGTGCCCATTTGATGGACACCTCCCCACACTGAGCCTCTGGTCTACAGTGTCTGAATATCTATGTGTAGGTCGTACAGGTATTTATCCTGTTTTACCCTGTATTACTAAGAAACAATAGACCAGAATTATTCCATTTCATTACATGGACATTTATATTAATGTGTAATAAGTTTGGTGATCATTTCCTAAAAGCTCAACATTTGAAGTTGAAACTATCTACCAAGGACCATCGTAAATAGGTTATTTCTCTACACTTGGGTATGCTTGATACCCTTGGTAGTCTTGGTACCAGACCTGGCACTACTCCTTTAAAAAGACAAAACCTGAGAGAGAAATGGAAATGTCATTTCAAATTCAATTAGTAAGTGTAACCCTTGATTAATTTAGCAGGATGGATAGCTTACAACAAGAGAGATGCAGTGCATAACCAATACATGTATTTATTTCAATCAAACAATTTAAGTCAGTACAAACACAATATACATGTACAGTGCAGTCTGGTCAGGTACTTAACAAATGCTCAATAAATAGAGAGAGAGAGAGAGAGAAAAATGGGGATTAACCTTCACTCGACACAAACCAGGTCATTTCGGGACTAACATATGGTTCAATTTTAATTCAATAATTCACTTGCACATAGGGATCTTTAGCAGTTGGAGAAAATTGGAGGTCCCAGAGAAAACCTACGAGGTTGGACAGTCAACCCTACTCCTTGTCACGTACAATCGGGGAATCAAAACTACGCCAGTTGACTCAATGACACGCGCTAACCATTCGGTCATCCACCCCCCACTCAATAAATAATATACTCTTACTTATCTTTATGACTTTCTATATACTACAATGTATGTCAAAAAAAATTATTTATAAATTAGTCAATAAAATAAGATTATATCTGGAAGGGACATGCTGACATGCCAAAATAAAAATCAAGTAAGCTTTGACACAAGTTCTATTATCTGTTATAATTACAATAAGGAATTGAAATATATTAAGCCAATATAATTAAATATTTAAGAGCAATCTGACATTCCTAGGACATGTGACATTTGGTTTAACCCCAGACTTATGATTGATTTGGCCAATACTGTACATGTAGTTTGCCTTGGTAAAATTTAAATATTCAGGGTACATGTATGGAATCTTTTCATACATATAAAAATTAGGTATCTATCAAAACTGAACTCAAGCTATTTGAAACAACATATTTGTTTAAAATTAAAAAAAACTTTCTCAAATAGCAATTTTTAATTGTATAGTAACATATCACTTTAAAGATATCTCAGAAAAGTATTTATTGGGTGGTTATTTCCAATAAAAGTATGCCAATTTTGATATATATGGAAAGTAGAAACATCCAATCTTACTTGAAAAATACTGGATTATCTGAAAAAGACCCACGGAGTGCATACAGGACAAAAACGTAAGGGTTTCCCTGACCGGCAACCCGACGATTAGTGAAGTCTGCTCAAGTAATGTCAAAGGTTAGTGAGCGCTTGTGTATGTTAATAAACTTGATGGTACAACAATTTCTGAATTAAAAACCACGGAAAAAGAATTGTGCAGTGGATAATCCAAGAATTTATGGGGCTTCAAAATTTATGATAAATAATCAGCGATAAAACACAACATTGTCTTAGTTTGAATATGTTTTTAGTCCAAATATATCATCAAATCACCCAGTTTGTACGCGGGAATGTATCTTTAAGTTTGTATCTTTGTTTTTAGCTATCATCCAGTCCAACCATATCTCTAATATGAATTATTGGTTGTGGTTACAAGCCACAGATTTTTGAAGTGTATGCATCAAATCCTGAGGCAGTGTTTGAGGCATCTCTTGCAAACTACAATATTGTGAAAGTTGAATGGGCCACTTTTGAATCCGATTGAATCCAAGCAATGAGATAATCTACTTTAAAAATGGACTAACAATCAATACTTTGTTTATGGAAAAGACATTTAACAATCGTGAATATGAACTGCGGACGGTGTTTCAATCTGCCAATAATGACTATTTCTTGTTAAAACTTCAAAGATTCACAACCTCGCTCAGAATAAAGTAATTTCAGTGAAATTTTCAATATATTCATTTTTCATTACCTAATTTCATCATCTGCTTTTGAACTATTAAATCAAGAACAGTCAACTCAAAATTTTAGATAATGTACATTTAATTAGATTACATTTTAGCATGGATTTAACCGTGGAAAATTTTATACTTTCCAAAAAATGTATATAATGCACAGAGGCTTTAATGGATACAATTATAAACTGTTTATAATTTAACACATTAAAATAAACAATTACTGGATAACAATTACTGTATTTCAATTAAAGCTACATTTCAACAATGATTCTCTTGTTGTTATCAAGCACAATACTGATACAGAGGAAACGAAATATATATACTATGTACAATCCAAACATTCAATGAAACCATTTAATTAGGAGGACAGTTGTGTTTATTTTGATACAATTATAAGTGAAATCTGGAACTTCTATTTTCATTTTTCCTACCTGACAAAGGATAAGTTCCAGAAAGCTTATGGCAAGTGTTTTCTTTACATATCAATTAATGCTCCATGATATGTCTACAAATTAGCAAATCAATAAACTATTATGTTCTTTTTTAAGAATGCTAGTCAAGTCGTCCACAAGCAAAGTCGTCCACATGAAAAATCTGGTTAAGTTGTCTACACCCATTGGTGGAGTCATCCACATCCGATGGTGGAGTCGTCCACACGACTTAGTTTAATTTCGGGATATAGTAATACGTTGGTAAAGTCGTCCACACGACCTAGTTTACTTTCGGGACACATAAGGTATTCTTAATTAGTATATTTTTTTGTGCCAAGTTCTGCCTGATCATCTTTTCTCCCTGGTTTTCAGAAAATCGCCATGCTAGAGCAGTAGAGCCGCCCCGTTCATGAATAAACAACAAAATAAATCATTTTATTGTGTACGAGTCTTATTCTTAGTTGTGGACGACATCACCAACGGGTGTGGACGACTCCACCAACGGGTGTGGACGACTCCAACAATGGGTGTGGACGACTCCACCAACGGGTGTGGACGACTCCACAAATGGGTGTGGACAACTTCACTGTGGACAACGTTTCTTGTGGACGAGTTGACTGGCACCCTTATTTAATACTAAAAGACAAACATGCATTACATCTATATACAGGACAGTATATATATTTAATGTTTAATTTGCAAACTTTTACTCAATGAACTACATGTGAAATCTAAATCATAAATCTAAATACATCCAAACAATTAACAGGTTTTAAAATAAATACATTGTCTTAATGATTTTAATATAATATTAGTCAAAATTTCTGAACTCGTTGCAAGCAAAATTCTATCTAACCACACTGATGATGGTCAGGTTAAATTTTTACATTTTATTCGGTTATCTGACACAGAATACATGACCTGTATGTGTAAACAGTAAACTGGTCAACTGAAAAGAGTCGATCTAATAAATTGAATAATCTGATCATCAGCTTCAGCCAGACTCTCACTACTCACTAGACTAGGCCCTACATCACAAATAAATGTAATCATGGCAGTAATGAGTAATGCCAAAAATTGCCTCCAATATAAAATGATAAATCATAATGTTAACCAATTGGTGGGAAATAGTCTAACAGTATAGATCTGTACGAAATAATAATCAGCTGTCATGCAATAAATATAAGTTGACCGATTCTTCTGCTCTCACAGAAGCGTATTAATACGGTATGTGTGAAAATAATAATAAGAAAGAAGCCATGAAAGGGTCACACCCCAGACGATATGCAATAACACAAATTTATTTGTGCTAAAAAGAAGTTGGCAAGATAAAAATTGCATAATCTTAAATTCTTACCGCACGACTCTATATTGTCACATAAACTCCTTTGAAGCAGTAGCTGTCCAAATTCATAATATTGGAGAGAAACATTATAAAGGAAGTGTCAAAATGGCGACATTATCGTAATTTCTCGCAGGTGCACGAGAGTTAAAAAGAAGTAAATATCAGTAGATCAATGTTCAGTATAAATCGTAAAAAAAAAAGAATTTGGTGAAGAACATAAACAAATCTTATTTTATATGTAGGATAAATAGCTACATAACTTTTTCGGAATTTAATATTTATTTAATGAATTATTGGCCAATCAGAACATACTTCGTTTATTTCTTCGTTACAGGAAAATGGCAGCGATGTTGGCTTTAAAAACGTACGACAGTGATTCAAATGAATCTACTGACTCGGAAAATAAAGAAGAAACCACTAATGATGACTCCTTTTCACATTTGAAGCCCATTGACACAGACAGTTCTATTTCCAAAGCCATAGCACTTAATGCGGCTCCGGTTGTTGCGTCTAAAGTAAATATAACACTGATGTTTACATCTCTCCCCCCCCCCCCTCTCTCTCTCTCTCTCTAGTAGGGTGGTCAATGAAGGCTCACCATCACCTCAAAGGCTAAATGACATAGAACAAACCCTCTTTGCCATTAACTTATACATTAATATGTAACAGGCATTGCCTGAGTAGAGCGAAGCTGATTATTGTTAAATATAAAACCTTCATAATTAATTTTCTAAAGTGATACAAAAAATGTTAAATAATTTAGTTTTTATTGAGATCTAAATTTTATACATTAATTTTGTTTTTAAAAAAAGAACAAAAAAGTGTGAGAATTATTTTCATTGACGTAAAAAATATGTGATGTCATTGATTAGACGCGTCATAGAAATAGTTCTATGAGCCGCGTAATCTCGCTTGGGCGAGATTTGGTGGATAGAATTATTTTTGTTAGTTACGTGATCTCGCTTGGGCGAGATTTGGTAAGTTGACATGCGCATTGCCTGTTTTGCCCAGTGTATCCGGTTCCGGTCTGAATTTTTTTTTAATCAACAGTCTGTGGGTGACATTTTCAATTACGCTCCTGTGTTACCGGAAAAGAGCTTTGCTCAAGCACCGCGCTTTGCATGGTGCTTTAGAGCTTTGCTCTATAATAATTGACTCTAAACAAGTTAGCTCTGAAAGTAGATCTCATTACACTGGCCCTGTACTTCAGGAACCCTCCTATTTAATCCTTGTCGAAACAATTTCGCTTCCCAGCTATTGTACAGGGCAACTTTTCACTGCTAAACGGTCTCGTGTCAGTCCCTGTGAACGCCTGTACAACGTAAAGGAACATTTTAGTGAGAAAATAAGATTTTGGTTACCTCACTTGTGTCAGTATGTGCAACACAACATGCTGTTAAAAATATGTCCCCCTCTGCTAAACTACTTTGCAGACACCATTGAAATCTACATATAGGGTAAGGTACAAATTTACATACCGGAAAAGTGCTTTACTCAAGCATCCCACTTCACGCGATGCTTTAGGGCTTGGCTCTATATTTTCGAAATTACTGCAAATATTAAATAACACTCTACCCCCATCTCTGTTCTCGCCACATCTGACACAAATTTAGGGTCTCCCTAATTTGCATGACGAATGACAAGCGAATGACGAATGACAAGGAATTTCTAAGCAATAACTGCTCCCTTTAGGCCAATATAATTCAACTACATGTACAGTATTGAGTTTAATAACTATCGACTTAATTTGTATTTTTGGGGGTAATTAATATTTTATTTCAATTGGATGAAACTATCAGGGAAAAGCCTGTATCACACTAGATAAGAAACCTCATCTCTCAACCTTGGACCATCAGTATTTCTCAACGTTTTTACCTACGTTATCGTAGCTAATATCAGACCTCTTCTCATACTAAAAATGAATCTGTCATTCGTCTGGTGACTCGTCATTCACTTTGTCATTCGTCCGGTTAATCTGTGCCATTCGCCTGGGGATTTGTCATTCACTTGGTCATTCGTCACGTGAACATCTGTCATTCTCTAAATCTTTGTGTGGATTATGTTATTCAGTTTGTCATTCGTCCGGCAAATCTGTGTCATTCTCTGCCATTTGCCTGGTGATTTCTGTCATTCACTTTGTCATTCGTCTGGCGATGTTCTGTCATCCATTTTGTCAGTCGTCTGGTTTGCTGGAAAATTTCCTTTGTCTTCCAAATTTTAAGAATGAATCAATCTGAAACTAAAACGTATTGTAGTATTCAAAAAGTAAACCGCGAGCGAATTTCATTTGTCAATTATATGATATATGATCTCATTTTCTAATGTTTGTGCCCGAAGAACGGAAATACATTGCCCAAAAATGGACGGTTCACCGGATCTGAGGATGTGGGGTGGGGGGTTCTGCTGCTACGTCTATGGACTCTATCATTAGGCTGTCGAAACAGTGTCATACTCTGTCACTCGTCTTGTGAACCTGTGTCATTCTGTTCGTCATTCGTGTGGTGAAACTCTGCCATTCTTTTTGTCATTCGTCTGGTGAACATTCTCTGTCATTCTGTTTGTCATTTGTCTGGTGAACATTCTCTGTCACTCGCTTTGTCATTCGTCTGGTGAACATCCTCTGTCACTCGCTTTGTCATTCGTCTGGGAAACCTCGGGTGGTGAACCTCTGTCATTCACTTTGTCATTCATCTGGTGAACCTGTGTCATTGAGTTCTTCATTCGTCTGGTAATCCTGCCATTCTCTTTGTCATTGGTGTGGTGAAACGCTGTCATTCTGTTTGGCATTTGTCTCATGAATCTCTGTCATTCTGTTTGGCATTCGTCTCATGAACCTCTGTCATGTTTGTCATTCGAGTTGTGAAACTCTGCCATTCTGTTTGTCATCCGGCTGGTGTACCTCTGTCATTCTATGTCATTCGTCTGGTGGACCTGTCATTTTGTTTGTCATTCGTGTGGTGAACCTCTGTCATTTTGTTTGTCATTCGTCGGGTGAACCTCTGTCATTGGTGTGGTGAAACTTTGTCATTTGTCTGGTGTACATCTGTCATTTGTCTGGTGTACATCTGTCATTATGTTTGTCATTCGTCTGCTGGACCGCTGTCATTCTGTTTGTCATTCGTCTGGTGCACCTCTGTCGTTCTGTTTGTCATTCGTGTGGTGAACCTCTGTCGTTATGTTTGTCATTCGTCTGGTGAACCTATGTCTATTTGTCATTCGTGTGGTGAACATTCTCTGTCACGCCCTTTGTCATTCGTCTGGGAAACCTGTCATTATGTTTGTCATTCGCCTGGTGGACCTGTGTCATTCTGTTTGCCATTCGTCTGATTAAGCTTTGTCATTCTTTGTCATCGTCTGGCGTAGCTCTGTCATTCTGTTTATCATTCGTTTGGTGAATCTCTGTCATTATGTTTGTCATTCGCCTGGTGGACCTGTGTCATTCTGTTTGCCATTCGTCTGATTAAGCTTTGTCATCGTCTGGCGTAGCTCTGTCATTCTGTTTATCATTCGTTTGGTGAATCTCTGTCCTTCTGTTTGTCATTTGTGTGGCGAACCTCTGTCATTCTGTTTGTCATTTGTCTGTTGTCATTCTGTTTGTCATTTGTCTGGTGCACCTCTGTCATTGGTGTGGTGAAACTCTGTCACTCTCTTTGTCATTCGTCTGGGAAACCTCTGTCATTTTGTTTTGTCAATCGTGTGGCGAGCCTATGTCATTCACTTTGTCATTCGTGTGGTGAACCTGTGTTTATTCAGTTCGTCATTCGTTTGGTGAATTTGTCATTCTGCTTGTCATTCGTCTGGTGGACCTGTGTCATTCTGTTTGCCATTCGTCTAATTAAGCTCTGTCATTCTTTGTCAAGGAGAACAGAAGGTAATAACATAATTCACTGGAGGGACAAATGACAAAATGTGTGACAGGGAGAATGACGCAGTTTCACTGTACGCATGGCAGAGGTTGGTCTGACGAATGACAAAGTCAATGACAGTGGTTCAGCAGACGAATGACAGAGAATGACACACGCTCACAAGACAAATGACAAAGAGAATGACACAGGTTTACCGGACGAATGTCACAGCTTCACCAGACGAATGACAGAGAAAACAAATATAGATTCGCAGAACGAATGACAAAGTGAATGACAGAATTCACCGGACGGACGAATGACAATTATGTAGACCCAGTTTATCGTTCTAGTGACTCATTACTAGATTGATTTATCCTAAATATAAATTTTACTGGTGGATCGATGGCGAAGGCCACGGTGTCACCGCTAATAAAGAAAAAATAAGTCGATAATTATTAAACTCAATACTGTAGTTGAATTATATTGGCCTAAAGGGAGCAGTTTTTGCTTAGAAATTCCTTTTCATTCATCATTCGCTTGTCATTCGTCATACAGATTAGGGAGGCCCACAAATTTATAATAATCCAACACTATTTTCAAATAGAATTTTGCGATTCAAAAACCTAAACTGTTCAATAAAGTTTGGAATAAAGGACCTAAGTTAATATCTACTTTGAAAGGTGCAAAAAGAAATTAGGTTATTTATATATAGTTGCAGGCTAAATAGAGAATACTAATACTATTACATTTATTTGTGCAAATCTACTGAAGGGTTACTTTAGAGCAAAACCATTCGAATATGTACTCCCATACAATTTTAATGGGGAACATTTTTTACTCTCAGATTTGACAGCTAATGAAAAAAAGCCTTATTTCTGAATATTTACCCCTACTTATTAGAAAACTAACTACATGTTTCAATAGATATCTGGCCAGTAAATTGATGACTTCCTTGACTTTAGACTCAGTGAGTGTGTGCTTCACAAAATATACTTATTGCAGGATGATGTACATCTCACAAGAACTTTTGAAGCTGGAACAAAAGAAGTTACTTTCAATCCAAAATATGAAGAACTATATGCACCCCAGGTCTGTATATTGTACTGATTGCTGTCATACTGCATTACAGATATATATATAAAACATTTTCATGTCAGATATTTGAACAAAAAGTAAAGACTTCCTATAAATGGAAAAGACAAACAAATCTTGATGCAGTCACGATACCCTCCACTTATGTAAAACTCTTATTTGAGTTTAACTATTTTACTTTTTAACGCAAGAAGTATAAAACTTACAAAATTTGTGAGGCAAAGCTTGATAATTGGCTCGCTAGCCTGGAGGTCGGGTGTTCGATCCCTGCATTGGCCGAGAAAGTGCATCCAGATTTTCCGGCATGGTTCCCCTTTGTCAGTGATGCAGGACGGAGGGCCTGACAAGGACAGTTGTCTAGTCCTTCGGATGAGACGAAAAACCGAGGTCCCGTGAATATATTAGAATGCACGTAAAAGATCCCCTGGCAGTTGGAATTCGATATAAGAGTAGGCGATAGTGCAGCTGCCCGGGCAAAATTTCCCTCATAGCACACTGTATGGCGTATGCCCTTCTTCATTAGCCCAGTATAGGAGCAGAACAGTAGGACGTTAAACCCCATTTCATTTCATTTTCTGATTCTTATCTTATTTATCATTAATGCATACATGTTTATTCAAAAAAAATGTATCTAAATTAAAAATTGTTTTTTCTTTGCCTCATACTTGATGATATATGCCATTATGTTTATTGACATTTAAGGTTGGTCCTGAAAATCCCTTCAAAACTAATCAAGCCCAGTCTGTTAGAAATACTTTAACAGGTTATGTTGAACCAGCACATATAAATAATTTCCATTTTGACAACCAGAGAAAAACATTTACAAGTTATGGTAAGTATATTTAATAGTTTATCAATAGGTTACTCACTGTCACTATATAGAAATTTTTGGAGTCTTAACTTGAATGTTTCTAATGATGGTCCACCAAGAACCGAAATACAAATATATACCTTTCTAAGTTTGTGGGAACCATTTCTATAGATTCTCTTGGAAATCTTTTGGATGCAAAAACCTTCTGTCTGCCAAAAAAGCACATATTCTATTTCGGTTATGCTAAGGGTACATGTCAAAGTTTCCCGAAATAAAAGATATAGAATTAATTACTCAAGTTGTTTCACTAATTTCTAGGAAAGATTGGCAATAATTTCTCTTAATTAAATATTTAGTACTCTTACAGTCCAGGTATCGTCAATGATTCGTAATTGTTAGTGACACATAGAAGTTGCATTTTACACCCTTCAAATTAAAATAAAAGTATGACTATCAAACTTAATTTACTGTCAGTGCATGTTATAAATAAATTAGAAAATACAAGGGTTAAAAACTTTCTGCCTTCTTAACAAAATTAAGCCACTGAAAACATTGATACGTTGCAGTCCTCGGGTTTTATTTAGTGAAATTATTCTGAAAAGAATAAGAAGTAATTCATTTCATATTAATTGCTGTGAATTATGACATGTAATAATGTTTGTTTTTAGGGTATGCTCTAGATCCTAGTGTTGATATTCATCAAGTAGAAGAAAAAGTTATTGGAGATACAACTGCAGCTGAAGATAACAAGGGTATGTTTATATATAATATCTAAACTTTATTTAATAATTTTTAATCTGATGGGCAATTTTTGTTGGAATCAAGTATATTTGAATAAAGCATGTTTTAGATTCAAATAATACTAAAAAGGTTTTATTATTGCATAGTTAGATCCTGGTGAAAAATCAGATATTTAATGAATGGACTTTTATGTTATAATATTAAAGGATGTAATTAAAAGTAGATTACAATTACAATACAATTAATATTTTCTGATTTTATATTACATTGTAATCTAACCTAATTTCTATCACAAGTATGTTCTGTCAGAGTATTATTTTTACCAACTGACCATACTCTAACACTAAACCTATTAGAATAACTTGTAAATGCTTAGGTTTCACAATAAATCATAGCCCTGTATTCTAATAAAGACATTATTGACCAAAATGTTTCATGTTTTCTTAACACTGACTATAAAGAAGATGTATCAGATGTCAATGTAAATGTAGAGCAACATCAAAAATAAAACAAAACATAATTGAATCTGATTTTAAACAGATTTGATATTTAAAAGTATAGTTTTGTAGATAGTATCAACATTTCTTTTTTACAGGATTGACAGTATTTGAACAAAAACCTAAAGAAAAGGAATCTGAGAAACGAAAAAGACAGAAAAATCCTGATGCATCTGATATTGAGGGATATCTGGGACCATGGGGTAAATATGTGGATGAAGAAACTATTTCAAAACCTAATGAGGTAAGAGAAAAAGATGATTATATTTTGATTGTTTTTTAAGTAATTTTCAAAAATCTCTTGAATTTTTTTGATTGGGTTGATATGATGTGTTATTTCGATGAACTGGAAGTCAGTTTATGTTTTGTCGTTACAGGAACACACAATCAATTATATACCAGTATATGAACATTGGCTTCATCGATAAACTAAACATTTTGACCAATGACAGATTGTCATCCCACAAAACAAATTACCACAAAATTTCAAAGAAATCAACCATTTCATTCTTGGCTCAGTTCAAACAATTCTAGCTATTTAAATATTGCCTGCTTACAATCTAAAAAATAAAAACCTACATTGAAATATTATTAATTTATTGATATTTGTTGTCTATTTATGTGGCTCACTGTGGCTAAATGAGTACAACGCTAGCTCGCAAGCCTGGAGGTCGGGTGTTCGATCCCTGCATTGGCTGAGAAAGTTCACCCAGATTTTCCGGCGTGGTTTCCCCTTGTCAGTGATGCAGGACGGTGGGCCTGTCAAGGACAGCTGTCTAGTCATTTGGATGGGATGAAAAACCGAGGTCCTGTGTACACATTGGCATACACGGAAAAGATCCCTTGACAGTTGTAATTCGATATAAGAGTAGACTGTAGTGCCACTGTCTGGGCAAATTTTCCCTCATTGCACTGCCTGTCTTCATTAGCCCAGTTCCCTAGCAGAACAGTAGGACGTTAAACCCCATTTCATTTCATTTCATGTCTATTTCTATGATGATTTCTACCTGTTACTATTAATAGTTATCACATTTTGCTTGTCATTATTATAGGAAGAACAGAAAGACTTAGATGAAATTTTAGCCAAAAGAAGTAAAATGGGTAAACAAAAGGAAGAAAAAATCACAGAAGAAAAGACAACTTTACACAGTAAGATACTATTAATTTTCAAGAATCAAGCCATCAATGTTTTAGCATTTCTACTGATAAAACTCTAATTGTCATCCTTATCACCAGTCAATATCTTTCATGCAAAACTGGCAGCCCACCATTAAACATGTACAACATACATGGTTTATTTTTAATTTAAGGTCATCTTTATTTATGTAGAAAAATGAATTAAAGATACATTATGTAAGAGCAAAATATGCATATTGCAGGTCTTTATTTGACTTCAAATGTTATGTAAACTATTAATTACATGATAAAATGGAGATTCAAGACTTAGTCTTGATTTTCAGGTGCCGTTGCTACGATAATAAACAATCTATGCCACATCTTTAAACCCTCATAAGTTCACTCAAAATAAAGTAAATTGAATGAAATGTTCAATATATTCATTTTTCATTTTATCTATTTTTGAACTATTATAGCAAGAACGATCAGCTCTTTATCTAAATATTACATTATGTATCTTTAATTTTAATAAATGGGAATATTTTTACTTTTAATTACAGTCAAAGATGCTTACGATTACCAGGGGCGTTCATTTTTACATGCACCTCAAGATGTTGGTGTCAATTTGAAATCTGACGATCCACCAGAAAAATGTTTTCTCCCCAAAAAACATATTCACACATGGACTGGTCACACGAAAGGTGTATCTGCTATTCGATGGTTTCCTAAAACGGCTCATTTACTGTTATCATGTAGTATGGATACTAAAATAAAGGTATTCAGCTTCAACCTTATTTGGTTAAATTATTTCAATATCTTTTAGTAAATGAAATGGATATACATACAGGAGACAATTTTATGGAATACAGTTATCATTTGTTTGATAAAGAATATATAGAGGATCTTCTACGTATCTTTTTTGATTTAAAAAAAGACGAGTAGGAGATTTTATTTATCACCCAATCTTTTCTTACATGCACAAATAAATAAATATAATTCTTTGCTATAGATTTCAGTTTTACTGAACCTGATAACATTACAGCGTAGTGATACATCAATTTTTTGACAGCAATTCAACCATTGCAAAGTCCTTTATATTGACCCAGTATTTCCATCAAGGTCAATTAAATAAAAATAGTTCATTTTTAATAAAAAAAAAAAGAAGTCACTTTTAATAAAAGTGAACTGTTTTTTGAAAATAAAAAAAAAGTAGTTCCTTTTCAACTGACCAATCAAATTCATTTAAAGCAATATCTCCTTATGAAATTTATCACACAGGCGGTATTATTGGGTGATAAAGAACAGTAGTCAAAACACCATTAGACAGTAAATGTTTTCCATGAGATTGACCATGGCTATAGGAATTGTATCATCATTATAATTTAGTTCATTGATCGGAAGGGGGGGTAGGATGGCCGAATGGTTAGCATGTGCGCACTGTATTATAAGGTCTGTCATTTAGTCAACTGGTTTTAACTACACTAAGCTGATTTATATTTCTTTTGTTTCAAAATTTATTTGATATTTTAAGAATGTAACATACTTATTTTGTTTTTCAAGATTTGGGAAGTGTATAATGAAAGACGTTGTGTTCGAACATATAATGGTCATAAACAAGCAACAAGAGATATTAGTTTTAATAATGATGGTACAGAATTTCTTAGTTGTGCATATGACAGATATTGTAAACTATGGGACACTGAAACAGGTAGATATACATTTTTAAATCTTTATCTCAATTATTGAAATAATGCAAGAGCACTGATCATTAATGCCTGATATATTCATAAAAATATTGGATCTAAATTGTCTACAAATTGGTGAAGTTTACTGTAACAACAAACTTTTAAAAGATTTCAGCATAAAAATTGTTGCCTATGTGACCTAGGTTTCGTGTTGAGCACCTAGATGGGTGTTGAATTTGTTAGTCTTTAAATAAGCCCCTATAAGTGTATAGATGGATAGAATGGATAAGCTAATTATATTAAATGGGAAAACACACAGTCAGGAACCAGAAAATTCAAGAGTACTTAGAATAAACATATCGCAATCTCCCAAATAACGATCAGAGACTAATTTATTGCAGGCTTATTGTGTCAATAATTGCATTTTCCTGGTCATTAGAAATAAACAGTAAACATCACATAAGTCGAATTCGTATAAGTCGGATCTTTGCTCAACTCGGATAAAATCGTTTGGACCCTTTGAACCTGCACGTTTTTCTTATTAAATTTCTGCGCGTAAATAAGATTTCCTAAGTCAGATCTTTGCTCAATTCGGATCAAAATGTTCAGCCCATTTGATCTACTTCAGGGCTTTTTTTCCTTCGACTAAGTTGGATCGGCAGTATGTTCAGAATTTGACGAAGTCAGTTTCGTCCCGATGGTCTAAAACATGGTTAGGTATTCCATACATAGAGCCCCAAAATACTTTCCCCCTATTATTTTGACGCGACGCAATAATAGAATTTTCCCAGAAAATTTGAAACTCGCTGTCTGCTGTATGAGACATTTTCGGGGAAATTTAGGACATTTTTCAAAGATGGTGACAAAACAGAAGTTATCTATCTTCTCGCACCAAAACGGAAGTTATCAACTTGCACATACGAACAAAAGCTTGAAATGTGCCCTTGAATCAGTTATTATCCGGCTCTTGCAGTTTATTTCTAATCGAGCTAAAATTGAATTTCGGTCTTTGGCTAACTTGGATCTTCGCTTAACTCGGATAAAATTGGTCAGTCCACTTAGATCCGACTTATGTGAAGTTTACTGTACTTAAAAAATAAGTTTTATGTTTTCAAACAGGTTAAAAATAATTATCCTAGAAATAACATATTTGAAACAACACAAAAATAAAAATCAAAAATACAGGTGTTAAAGAGAAATAAGTCCATAATGGAGTTCAGAACACCACATATTATTTCTAGGATGAAAGTTGACTCAAGCAAATTGATATTATATATGAAGAATATATAACAATAATTTCTATTGTGTATTATTATATTACAGGTGAATGTAAGGGGAGATTTACAAGTAGAAAAGTACCATATTGTATTAAATTTCATCCTGATGAAGATAAACAACACTTGTTTGTTGCAGGAACGTCAGATAAAAAAATAGTTTGTGTAAGTTTTCTTTCTATGACATGAAAGATTTTCTTTAAATAAAATATAACATAATCTATCCCTGTAGAATTTTTGATATACGTTAAAATTGACTAGACCTCTGGGTCAAAAATATAATTGTAGATTTCATTAATTTTGTTTTGTTGACAATCTGTCTTTGTTCACAATTCTGTGTTGAGATATAATTTAATATTTTATATGTTTTGACACAATAAGCCAAAAATAGAACTAATCATTTAAATTTAAAGATCACGTAAGATTAAAAATCTAAATTCCATGTATGTATAGCCCATGGTTACTATATCAACTTTACGGCAACCCCTCACCAATCTGATTAAAATTAAGTCGGCTGTTAACGTTTAAGTGTCCGACATGCCAAAACGCTTTTCAATTTTTCAATTACAACCTTAATCCGGTTGATTGGCTGGTGACGTCACAGGCACTACACATAGGATATACATTATCTATACAATATCTCACCGTCTGTACAATATAGCACTATCAATACACACGGCAAGTTGACAAGCGTCTGTTGACGGTCCAATTACCACGTGACTGGCCTAATCATAATCACCGAATTATCGTCTTTCATTTGTGATTGGAATATTTTAGAGTGAATTTCAAATGCCGTATCATGCCGTAGATCCATTTAAGCTGCCTTTGTTTAAATAGGCCACGTGTCAAATGAAGACGACTCAAGAAATTAGCGCATTTACCGGTAATTTGGATAACCCCGTAATACTTGATATATTAAGTACAGAAATACAAATGGCGCCAGTCATTTGTCGATATATTCATTATTAGCTATATATAATAATAATGACCATTTCTATACATAAAGAACAACTTTTATCGTAACTCCATTTGAAATTTACAGTGAATATGGAATTTTCCGATGACTATGCATAACATGTACAATAGATCGCCCTCATTTCTCAGCCAATCAACGCTGGGAATCTTATTACCACTTACGGTTACATGTACTACGGGTGTAGTAAATGAGGTTAAACTCCGGCACGAAAATTGCACGGGATCATACGTGGACTTCCTGGTGCCGTTTGGTGAGTGATTAAACTGTCAATGCAATTGTAAAATACTTTTATTAAAAAGAAGATAAACGATTGTTGTTTAAACGCCAATCAACAAATAATACGAGGCTACTTGATTACAAAAACACTGGTGAGCAATAATTATTGGGTAAATAATAATTATAAACAACTGATGAGTAAAACTTAATGGTTTTATACAATTAATGTGTGGGTGTACGATTCTACCATTAGTTCGTTCATGAGGTATTATGCACACGTTCCACTTAGAGTGATGTCTTTGATCTGGCCGGCGTAAAAAAAGATAATTACCTAATCAACATTCTTAATCCCACTAACACTCACTGCTAACACCGACGTGTAAATTAGTTTATGACCCATGCCTGTATAACTTTTATAGTCGGATTGATTAAGTAATGACAAATATTAACGACACTACACTTTATGTGGAAAAGCGAAGTGCTCGCAGTAAAAAACACATAGCTGGACCGGTATATTATTTACATATTAAAAGTGTTCGTCCAATAAGTTCCATATTGTAAAAAATTAATTAAGAGTTCAAGACTTCAAAGTTTAAAAGTTGTAGGCAATCTAAATTGGATCTTCAATTAAAATGAATTACAAAACGAATTATTTCGTAGTCAATTGTTTTATTTAATTAAGAACTAAGGGAGATTAAGGAATCAGTCAGGCCTTAATGAGTACACACGCCGGCTGTATATAGGTAATTAAGGAATAAACATTCCGAATATGCATTCGGTCACTATGACGTCACTGGCGTCTGAGGGGATTAAGAGTGTTTTCGATAATTGGAAAAGTCATTTTCACGGGAGGTCCATTTTTACGACTTTGAGTGAAGATAACTGAATTAATTTCAATCAGATTGGTGTGAACTTGCCGTAAAGTTGATATAGTAACCATTGGCTACACATATCCAAAAGTTCCTAAACCCATCTTATGTGCACTTTAAATGGATTGAGGTAATCAGGTTATCCATTTCTAGGCCTTAATTTGACCTGAATAACAGAGGTCAAGCTCCTTTATATTGAACAATTTAATTTAAAATATATCAAATGATAATATGAAAATGGTATATTGTTGATATTACAGTGGGATATTAGAAGTAATGAAATTGTTCAGGAATATGATCGACATTTAGGAGCTGTAAATACAATCACATTCGTAGATCAAAACCGACGATTTGTATCTACATCTGATGATAAAAGTTTACGAGTATGGGAATGGTAAGTATATCTTTTGGGAATTGATGTGCTTTTGTTTTGTCAAACCCTGATTGTAGTCAGGAACCTTTTGGTCCTGGACACCTGGCATTCAAGAAGGTATGCATGCAGATATAAGCTTGCAAATGTGCACATGCAATATGAATTGTTTGATTTCTCTGAAACTGTTGTACTAAACAGCTATAAAAACTCTTCAGTGTACTGATGAACAATTAAATCTGACAAATAATGATATTTGATAATTAGATCCACTTCAGGTGTTATCTGGGTTTTATGATGCACCTACCAAACAAACACACCTGTAATCTATTTATGTATATCCATTTTTCTAATATCCATAATAATGCAGTAATTATTAATTGTCAATTTTTAGCATTAAATACTGCACCAAATAGAAAGTAAATACCACCATTAATGTCCTTGTCAAAAAACTGGTTATTATAGATTAAACAAAAAGGAAGGGGACCCTTTGGGAGTATATTTTATCATTAATGGCATTTGGTGGTTATCATAAAAGTTAATATAAAATTTATAAGTTAGTTCAACAATTTGCGTTATAGCAAAGAAGTTTTCTCCTTATATATACATATAGATGTATATAATTTATTGAGTTAATTTGTTTGGCAAGATGGAAATCTCTCTGAATTAAATATTTTATGTCTGTTGTTGAGATATCATTTCTTGTTTCTGTATTGCTATACATCTATTTTCTTTACAGGGATATACCAGTAGATTTTAAATATATATCAGATCCATCTATGCATTCTATGCCAGCTACAAATTTATCACCCAATGGTTAGTGTTAAAAATCTTGTACTTTTATCGAAACATTGTAATAAATTATATATAATCTATGATAATTCTAACATTGCATAGTTTTCAAGCACTTAGCTACACCAATTTGATTTTCTGTTCTTCGGGAACAGAGGGGTTAGATGGCCGAATGGTTAGCACATGCGCACTGTATCGTAAGGTCTGTCATTCAGTCAACTGGCGGGGTTACGATTCCCCTTTTGTACATGACAAGGAGTAGGGTCGCCTGTCCTTTGGTTTCCTTCCACTGCTAAAGACCCCTAAGCGTAAGCGAATTATTGAAATAAAATTGAAACATGTGTTAGTCCCAACGAGTGACCGTTAAACCCCATCTCTCTCTCTCTCTCTCTCTCTCTCTCTCTTGGGGAACACCTGTAAGAAAAGTCCTTATTTCGTAGGGAAAAATAGACCAAAGTACTTGTTTTCATCATTCCGCTTTCAGCTCGAAATTTTTAAGTTTTGAAATTTCAACAAAACATCTTGCACATAATTCATATGGCCATTCATATGAAGAACAGAAAATCAAATTGGTTTTTTTATATCACTTTATTTAATTTATGGCTAAGTGGGTAAGACGCTGGCTCGCTAGCCTGGAGGTCGGGTGTTCGATCCCTGCATTGGCCGAGAAAGTTCATCCAGATTTTCCGGTGTGGTTCTCCCTTGCCAGTGATGCAGCACGGAGGGCCTGACACGGACTGCTGTCTAGTCGTTTGGATGGGTCGAAAAACCAAGGTCCTGTGTACACATTGGCGTGCAGGTAAAAGATCCCTTGAGAGTTGGAATTCGATATAAGAGTAGGCCGTATTGCTGCTGTCTGGCAAAATTTCCCTCATAGCACACTGTATGGTGTATGCCCATCTTCATTAACCCAGTCCGGAGCAGAACAGTAGGACGTTAAACCCCATTTCATTTCATTTCATTTCATTTCATTTAAACATGCATTATGCAAGAGCTAAATCTGTCTATTGCAGGTCTTTCTTTAGACCTGAAATGTTACCTAAATTATTAATTATACATTAATTAACCTATCCTGACCATAATCAACTCTAGATGGCATCGCTAGCCTGCGTTCTTAAGTGGATTGTGAGCCGATTTACTGCATAACTTTCCTTCTCGATTAATTGATTAAATGGATAATCGAGACTATGCTGTTTATCGTACTGACTTTAGTAATGATGACCGAGGCTAGGCAGAAATTTGATTCGCTTAGTTCTCGGTTCATAGTGGATCAATTTGAATGAAATTTTCAGCAAATTGCCTTTACGGTATCTAGTTTGTAATTATTATAGTGAGAACTGCCAATTCGTTATCAAATCTCCCATAATGTATCTTTATTATATGTTGTGTCCTGCCATTTTTATACGTCATTTAATACTTACAGGAAAATGGTTGGCCTGTCAGTCTATGGATAATAAAATTTGTGTATTTAATGTGTTAAATAGATTTAAATATATGAGAAAAAAATTATTCACTGGTCATATGGTAAGTTTATCTTGTGTTCTATTTTTGAATGGTCAACATGTAAAGGGGTGTTGTCACATCTTCAAATATTATGCTATTGATTTTAGTGTATATCTTCATGGCTTCAAAATATTCACTTGCTAGAAATTTATTTATAAAAGATTTCTTTGTTGTCCATTTGACAATAGGCAATTCACTTGTTTGAAACACTACAATGTTTGTAAAATCAGGGCTTAAAGATACATTATGCAAGAGCTAAATCTGCCTATTGCAAGTCTTTATTTAGGCTTCGGATGTTATAGAAATTATTAATTAGACCTTTATTTATACGACAAGCTCAAAATCTACTCTGAAGACCCACGTATGACTTGGATACAGTTTGGATTTAAACAGTCGTCTATTTAAAATTAAATCAATAACTGGCTGACAAAGCTAATGTTTACCGTTAGTCGCTGATGTCACTACCGGAAACTGGTGATGAAAGGCCTGCCAAGCGAGACTATCATAGCCATTGAGCATGTTACTTGATAATCAAGAATATGTGGGTGGAGTTATCATCTGTCAATCAAATGATCGCAAATTCTGATAGACGGTGCAGACACAATAGATGCCTATTTCTAGTCCAAACTTCCAACAGTGACAATTCCATTCAGAACAAAGTATTTTTGAATTACAACAAAACACATACTTATGGAAAACAGCTACTAGTGTATTTAAGGCGACGTTTCGTAGAGTATTCTCTCAACGTTATCAAGCTAATACAGAAAAACAGGTATGAGGCAAATATATATAGACAAAATACAACAACATAACCAAAACCATACTTAGCAGAGACAGCATGAATAGACAGTATAGTAATTTACTTTCAATTTTCTATTTTAGGTTGCTGGTTTTGCCTGTTCTATGGATTTCTCACCAGATATGAGGTATGTGTATAAATCTTTTTATAAGAATCTATGTATAAAAACAAGCATTTCTAAAGTATTTTGATAATGTATTACATTTTAAGTGGTTATTATTGTCCCCCACCTTTTAAAGAAAGAAGGGGACTATTAAAATGGGTCTGTCTGTCCTTCACACTTTTTAGGAAATAATAACACTCCTTCTGATAGAGGTAAAATGTTCAAACATGGTGTTGGTGTGAATGTCTTGATGGAGTTCGAAGATGAGCATTTTCTGCTTAGGGCAAGCAGAGATAAGCAATTTGATGGGTTGATGCTTTGGGACACGGTAACTTTGGTTTTAAGTGAGGAAACTTGGTGTATAGTTTTTTTACATCAACACCTTGACTAAGAGTGATAAGCAGTTTGATTGGTTGAGACTTTAGGGCTAGATAACTTTGATTCTAATTGAGAGTGGTGAAACTTCATGTATAGTGTCATTACATCAATACCATGACTAATTTAAATGATTGCATTTTCTGCTAAGGGACTTAGTGTATATGTCTATTTAGTGAATGCTTTAATTGGTTGAGACTTTGGAACATGATAACTTTGGTTTTAATTGGGTGTGAGTTATGAAACTCAAGAGTATAGATTCATTATATCATGATGACAGCTTTCTGATTAGGCTAAGGAGCGATAAGCAATTTGACTGATCAAGACTTTGGAACATAACAACTCTGCTTTTAATTGCTGTAGACTCTTTAAACTTTGTGTAGATGTTCATTTGGTGAATATCTTGATTTGGGACATCAGCAACACCGTTGGCTTGTTTCATAAATAGTGATTACTTCACAATGATGTATAATGTAATTATGGCTGTGTATTTTTATATCATTTGAAAAATATTTTATCCAATTTTAAAAATGCATATTTTGACAGAATTTTTCTTTTTTTTTATCTTCAGCTATTTGATATCGGGTGATGCAGATGGCAAGTTGTATATCTGGGATTGGAAGAGTACCAAATTATACAGTAAATTCAAAGCTCATGATGATGTGTGTATCTCTTGTTTGTGGCACCCCCATGAAACCTCTAAAGTAGCAACATGTGGCTGGGATGGTGTTATTAAATATTGGGACTAGAAGTTACACACAATATTTTAAAAGACATAATGCACTGTTTTAGGGTTCGAAAGTGTTTTAAATTTGCTCCACAATGTGTGTTTCATCTTCAATCAAATTGATTCTAAATAAGCTATTAATGCAAGTTATTTCAATACCCATTTCTCTTCTGTTACAGTGGTTGTATGTGACAAGGAGTAGGGTCGTCGTTCCAGCCTTGTGGGTTTTCTCCGGGTCCTCCGGTTTCCTCCCACTGCTAAAGACCCCTACACGCATGCCAATTATTGAAATAAAATTAAGCCATATGTTAGTCCCGAAATGACCTAGTTTGTGCCGAATGGACGTTAAACCCCATTTCTCTCTCTCTCTTCTGTAACCAAATTAAAGAAGTAGTCATCCTGTAAGTCAGCAATTCTTATGTCATTTGTTAAAACTTCCAGAAGTCAATCAATCAAAAACCATCATGACACAAAGGGTGTCTTAATTTTTTTATGTACATTATTCAACCCCATTATATTATGCATTATGTTGGGTGGGTTTGTTTTACGATAAATGAGAAGGGTTGGATGGCTGAATGGTTAGCGTGTGAAAGTTGAGTCATAAGGTCTGTCACTGAGTCAACTGCCGTGGTTTCGTTTCCCCAGTTGTATGTGACATGGAGTAGGGTCACCTATCCAACCTCATGGGTTTTCACCGGGTCCTCAGATTTACTCTCACTACTAAAGACCCCTACACGCAAGCGAATTATTGAAATAAAATAGAACCATGTTAGTCCTGAAATGACCTAGTTTGTGTCGAGTGGATGTTAAACCCCATTTCTCTGTCTTTACAATAAATGATGATAGAGTATGTGTGTATATAATATATACTGTAATACATAAAATTTGTATAATTTCATGGTTTACAGTTTGTTTAGTCAGCAGATGTTTAGTCAGCAGATGTTGTAAATAATTGTAAATATCTGTAAATAAATTTATATAATTAAAATAAGTATTAAAATAAGTCTTTCTTTTAAAATGATATCAGTGCAACAAAGAAATTAAATGATTATTATTCAAATATATATCAAAAATTTCTAAGCACAGAAATAACTGTTTTTGGGGATGGTCTTTATTATCAAAACTGGGTATTTACACATGGATGTCAAGAAGGGAATAATTTGGGTTAAACGACTGGCAGTTATAAAACTTATTATGGCCACAAAAAAAAATATACCGCCGCATCATCAAAGATTGGACGCATCACACGTTTTTTTGGTTTTTTTTAAAAAAACAAATGAGAATAAAAACAAAGTCAATAATTTCAGCTCATTCAAAGGAAGTAACTCTATTTAAAGTTTCTTGATTTTTACCTATTTTTTGTTCTAATTGATAAAATTTTGAGTGTTTCTTTAAAATGAAAAACCAGCTAGATTTTGACAAAATAAAAACCAAAAAGGAAAAACTGCCCTCTGGCATCAATTTTGTTAAAATGATTGTTTTTGAACCAGAATATTTATTTTGTGTGGCCTGACAGTGACATACCTGGCTTGTTTTGTTATTTTATAATCTCATTCAATCTGTGTTTCCCCTGATCATAAGAAATATATTTATGTTTGAAATACATGTCCTAATTTATTTTGAAGAAACCACCTATCTTTATAGTTGTTCAAATGGCTTTGCTTGATAATGACAAGAGAAGCCTAGTTGAAAATGTTGCTCAGTAAAGAACAGTAATTGTATTCCATAGAATTTTAAAATACAGATGTGACGTATGTTGATGTTGACGTACCATTATTTCCAATACTAGATGAAATATTGGACTTGCGTGACGTATTTCGTTGAAAAGCATGTGAGGGACAGTGTCTGTATTTTAAGTTAATGATCTTGAGCTAAAGACATTGCGTAAATATTGAACGCCTCGTGCAGTATCAATATACTCCTTAATGTCTCGCTCTCGACCATTAAACAATACATATTGATTAAAGAAGAGATTATTTATTTTGAAGATAATTCGTCCTTTAATCTGGAGCTAATGGAGATGTCACAGGGTCTGCATTAAATTGCATACTATCAAAGGGGATATTTATAGACCGCTGGTTCAATATTTCTATCTGTAATTCTAAAATGTGTTTGCAATTATGTCACACTACATAATGGGACTGATAGAACTTGATTCTGTGTCCTCTCATGTCAATTCAGATTGTTTCAGACTTGCCATACAGTATGCCCCAACCAAAGGTAAATTGTTCAGGACTTGCCATTGGGCACCCCAATCAAAGGTAAATTTATTCCGGACTTGACATTGAGCACCCCAATCAAAACTATGCCCTCAAATTACTTTGACACAAAAACTGATCCTAATAGCCCGTTCAGACGCTTATTTTTAAACCAGTTCATAATCGCTGGGTTTTTTAAGACAGCATCGTGTTGCATTCACACGTACTATAAGCCAAACCAGTTTAACTATTCTGACCTCTTCGGTCGGAGGTTAGAGTTAACTGTGCATGGGTAGCTTCATATTCTTTATTCGGTTCTCACACACTTTCGATAACATTGGCACTGTCTGACCCCAATATTTTCACAGGAATGTAACTAACTGCGTACTGCGCATGCTCGAAGCAAGCTGGAGCTGGGGTTTTTAAGCCAACCCGTTCAGACGGCTAAGATGAACCAGTTTAAAATAAAAAGACAGGTCGCGAGGAGGGGTTTTTAAACTGGTTTATTTGCCCCACATTTGCGTTCAGACGCTTAAGTTAAACTGGTTTAACGATCCCCTGGGTTTTTAAACCAGTTCAACTTAAGCGTCTGAACGGGCTATAAGATAACCATGGTGTACATTAACCGTTATGTGATGAATTAGTGCTGAGGTTATTTCATATGTAATGCGATATGGTGGGGAATACACATGTAATGCACATAGTGATCAGTCTTTAGAATACTGATATTGCACAGAAGAAAACTGGGGGTCATTGCCCATCAAACTAAACAAAATGACCAAGGTTTGTACATTTTCGATACATATAAGATAAGAAAATTATTGTTAAAAATATTTTATCAAAAAAGCCAAGCTCTATAAAAGCACAATGAAAGCAAAACAATGTTAGTTGGCTAATAACTTTCTAGGAGGGGTTTATGATGTAACTTCATTCAGATTTAAAATAATTGATCACTTCACAGATTTTAAAAACTATTCTTAAAGTAGAGCAATATGGCAAAAATAAATAACAGTAAACAATAGTGTTAATAATATACAGAATAAAATAGAAGTAACAAATATACAACAAGATACCATTTATATTTACATGTATACCAATTCAGATGAGAATCTCAAAGTTTGAATATAAGAAACCAGACAAATATTTTAATCAAATCTTTCCATATAAATTCCAGAGATAAAAATCTAATATTTCAGTTATCATATATTATTTGTGACAATTAAAGTAGCATAGTATGACTCATGAGTAGCCAAAACATTTCTACTATAAGTAAATCTATATATTCATTTGTTCGCACTAAGAAACCAAATATTTAAAATCTTAAAATAAATTCATTACTATTTTTTTTTTACAGGAGTTTTAATGATGCTTTTTATTTTATATTTGGTGCATTATTTAATGATTAAATTGACAATTAACGATCATTGGGTTTTATGGGTGTTGAGAGAAGTAATATTTTAACATGAAGAAACATTCTACTCAAAATCAAATCTATATAACACACTAGCAAAGCCTGGGAACTAAACTAATCAATTAAAATTCTTAAAAGTGTATTCTAGACACAACGGAAATTTAATAATATCTATAGGAATAGGAAAAAAAAAATTATCTTATAATGAATGAATTGGCAGCAACAATTTGATGTACAATTTTTCAGTGTACAAATGCATGATTTATCTTTTAAAAAGTTTTTTTAAAGAAAATATATTTCTAGAATGAAACAAATGCAATTTCTCAAATTATTCACATTACACCATATGTAATAAAATCAAAACTATTTTTCAACAATCAAAAATGATTAAAATCAAATGTTATGGTGTTCTATGTACAATCCAATATAGGTTGGTGGAGGCAACAAACATGCCCACCGCCAGCAAAGTCGTCAGATTCTTGCATTTAAGGATGTCAAGAACTCAATGTTACAGTTACAAATGATTTTTTATTAAAGATAGAAAATGGTCTTAGCTTGGTGACAGGGTAATAACTCTGTATGAGGCCAGACTGAACAAATTATTGCCTTGTCATAGGCATCTTATGAGTTGTGTGAAAACCCGAGCAAGTTTTGATACCTCTAGTCTGAAACATATTACAACCAGACCAGACACAGTCACAACAAGATACAACCACAACATCTTTTTGTTTAAAAGAAGTAGAACTATGTCAGCTGTCCTTAAAAATGAAGAAGTAATTCCTCAATATGAATCTTTACAAAATAAGAAAATTTCTAATTATAAACAATGTAAATAACATTAAACCAGAAATATAAATTTATGTATGAGGAAAATATGCATTAAAACAATCTCCAGAACAGAGGCGCTGTCAAGTCACACAACTTTATGTCAAAATTAAGATAGATTAATGCATATTTATTTTAAGTACAGCCTTTTAAACAGATATAAATCAAAATCTGCATTACTTAGTTTATATATACATATAAGAAAGTTTTTTTTACTACCACATTCCTTTTATTTGATTTCTAGTGACAAGTGGCACTGGTGTTGAATTTGCCACTTTGGGGAACTAAAACGTGAAACTTTATTGGAAAATTGATTGAAATGGACTAATATTGAATTCAAATTTGTGTTTTTAAGGTTAAATATTATGGAAAACATTCCAATAAAGGCACAGTTTAGTTTGATTTATATCCATATAATTATTTATAAAATTGAAGGGTGATTTCGGAGAACAGAAAAATAATCAATTCATAAAAAGAAATAACACAAATACTAATTTTTAATACATATGTAAAATATTGTATATAAATATAGAGAATATTATTAAAAGTTGCATATATTATCGAATATTTGATTACATAATAACGATAAACACATTAATAAATTCATTTCATGCACATATAAATCCAGGGGGTTGTTTTCAGGTGTTGAGGAGAATGAAACTCCATCTCCACATCTTGAGCTTAGCTGATGGTGAAATAAACAATCAAAACTATAAGACAAAGTCGAAAAACTGTAATATAATAAACACAAAAACATAATATGCAACACAATCATAGGCGTAGGAGCCGGGGGGGGCAGGGGGGGGGAATTTGCCCCCCCCCCCCAAATTTATTTTCGGGCAATGAAAAATTCAACCTTTTTTTTCTATTAACGTTTAAGAGAAAAAATATAACTAACTTATTTCTATGAGATCCACACTGCCCGAAAAGTATTTTCTCGTCATTTTCTTGTCCACTGCACGCCCGAAAATATGCCCGAAGCTCTCTTATGATATGTATGCCCGAAAAAACGGTATTTTAATCAATGCAACGTTTTGTTGTGGGTACTCTCAACGTTTTCAAGCAAATGATGAACCCTCAACAAAACGTCACTTTAATTAAAATAGTAATTGTGTTCCATATTAAGTTTTTGTATTTATTACGTATGCCAATTGCTAAATGCCGCTCAAAGAAGAAACAGTATTTTGTAAAGTAAATGCATCTTAAAAAACAAAACATTAAAATTCCCCCTTCCTACTCCACAGCAATCGGCTCTAGTGTAGTCTGCCTAAATGATCATTAAACTACTGGAGTTGAAAAATTTAACATAAAATTAAATTGACCAGGACTAAAAAATTGCATTGTAAAGGTAAAAACATTCCGAACCGTCAGAGAGGTAAATCCCTTTATCGATTGCTCTAGCCTGTAGCAACATTTATCGACACACCTTTGCCTATATTTTTAGTATCCGTCCCTAATTGTACAACATAAAATGACTGGGGGTTATTAATCAGATACATGTATATTCAAATTATTAATTTACAAAAGTGATTACAAATAGATATGATATCTGTTTATCTACAATAACTGGAATGTCCATATCCATAGTAGGCCTACAGTGTACTAGGCCCTACACAGTAACCTCTTTATAAAAGTAAAGAATAAAGCACAATATCTGAGGAGATGTTCCATGCTAGATTGATTTTTCCACTTTCCCTATAGAATAGACCTCTCCATAATTTGTATGTTTTATTAATGGAGATATTTTTAATAGATATAGTGATTAATTCTGGGTTTATTGTGCATTGAGGTTAGATTCTTTGAAATATCAAATTCTATGGCATGTAAAATGATTCACAGGCAAGACTGACAAATAAGACAGGAGCTCTGAACAAATCTGTGACATAGACCTTGTTAGCCCACACCCGCATAAATTACCTGGTAAGGAAATTATGGAAGCCATCATTTTATACCCTAATCATCTTGAATGGTACTCACCAATCATTCTAGTATTGTTTGTGCAAAACATGTCCGTTTGTCCAAAATCTAAAATATGCAATAAAATTGTGAAGAAATTCTTGCCTACCCCATTCACAATAATACATTCATAAGAATTCCAAATGAGTGAAGCATCATTAACTGTTTGTATAAAGTGTTCAGTCATTCTAATGACTAAAACAAGTTTTTAATTATCGACTTTGTGGAGAAGAGTTTTTATGTATTTTATCCATTAGGTACCAAATTATCCACTCCTAAAATTTTTACCTCAGTTGAAAAATTACAATAGCTAATATTTGATATGTAATAGCTTAGAAGTAAAAATCCTGCACAACATTATGATGTCACCATAAGAAGAAATTTGTTAAATATTATTTGCAAATTTTGGTACCTAAACGTTTAAAGAGTTTTAGTTAAGACACCAATTTTAGTGCTTATATACAGCAAATGTAGTAGAATAATCATCAGTTTGATCAATATCTATATTTTTAATCCAGGCTCTACAGGTTACCTGTATGTAATGAAAATCAGGTAAGGTGTTGAACTTAATCATAACTAATGGATGGAGGAAATCTGTAGCTCCATTCAAGTTTCGGTAGAAGTAGGTAGGGAAACCTTCTTTTGGGAAGTATTGAATAGGGTCAATATCCCCAATGTATTTACTGCCAATCAAGTCTCTGTCTGTATCTGTCTGAAAAATAGTACAGAAAAAAATAATAACTAGATCTGCATAGCAGATATCAAAGCTTTCATATAAACTGCAAAAGGGATTATTAGAATCTATGAATCAACAACCACTTTGACGGAAGATATTCTCTCGGCTAAAAAATCTTTTTTCTCTCAGCTACGAGAGATACGTAGAATTAAACCGGCCCAGAGCCGACCGTGTTGATAAGAAGCCGCTTATTTGACATTGACACATAACTGAAGGTGAATAGGCCTACCCGTCCAGTTAATACAATGGGCAATCTCACATCGGTCTACTAAAGAGAGGCACATACTAGTCGCCTCCTACTTCCCCAAGACATTTAGTCCAAACCTTGACTCTCATACATATAAACCATTTGGTACTACATGTACATGTATTTCGTACTTATATCATATTAAACCCCTCGGTCGCCGTGTTGAATCACACAGTATTTAACGTTCTATATCCTAACATCTTTTATTTTTACATCATTCAGGTTTTTTTAAATAAGTAATTCTATCACAAATTATAGTGAAGATACCGATCAGTTTTTCTTTGTGTTAATGCGTTCTACATTTTCAAAGCAATGATTCTTATAATGTGCGAGCCGCCATGACACCGGCGGATATTATAACTTTGATAGGCGAGAAACTTCAGGTAGCAGTTGGGTTTCATCAAATCATATAATTATGCGGTACGGCTTCACCTTTATTTCAATGGGAATTGGTTTATTATATGTGCAGTGCAGTTTTAGGTCAGTTTATGTGTAAATTAAGAGAGCTATACATAGGCCAGTAACCTTTTTGTAGTCATTTGACTACTGAAATCAAACCAATTTTACAATGTAGGTAGTGAAAACAAAATGTTATGTTAAGCGTTGTTCGAGGGTGGGGTGGGTGCATAAAATTCCAAGGGTTATTTTTCGTGCACGCCAATATGCACACAGGATTTTGATTTTTCGTCCTACCCAAAAAACTGCACGCAAAGTTAGTTGTCGGGCCTTCGGTCAAGAACCACGGACAAAGGGAGAGAACGTGGACCTCTGTTTTTCATACCATCCAAGCGACTAGGCACTAATCCTTGTACCATGGACGAGGGGACAGGCGTTTTTCGTCCCATCGAAACGACTAGACACAGATCCTTGCTAGGCCTTCCATACTTCACCACTGCCAACGAGGAACCACTTTGACCTCGGGTTTTCGTACCATCCGAACGACTAGACACTAATCCTTGCAAGGCCTTCCGTTCTGCACAAATGAGCCACGCTGGCCTCGTTTTGTCGTAACATACAAACGACTAGACAATGTTTCATAATTTAGTCATGTTCGCGTGGGTGGGTTGGCAGCAGAATTGATATGTACATGATAGTGACACGAGTAGGAGGGGAGGGGGGGAGCGGGGTGTACACAAATCACACAAATCAGAGCTTTGTAATACATGCATATACTTGATATACTAAATACACAAATGGCTGAATTTCGAGACATTTCTGGCACTCTTTTAACACATAATGAGAACACTGCATTAATTTCTATATATCAATAAAATATGCCTCAGACTCATTGTATCATATATGATACACTAAATTTCGACATTGATTTTCAGAAAAAATATTGTTTATTTTTAAATTTGAATTAGACTAGTAACAAAATATATTTTCTGGCAGCAAATAGCATATAAATAAAAATAGATTTACTTTCTGATTATTTTTTTTAAATGAAATCATTCCAGGGCTTTTATTGACATTTCAGAAAATGTAGAGTTGGTCCCATGCACTTGAGGCCAGGGTCCTTGAAGTTGTACAGCTGCACCCGGTGACCGATATTTATTTAACTGGGAATAAGTGATAATTCATATTATAGCAGTAAATAATTAAAATATTTCATAGGGATTATAATAATATGTAAGCTTATATCATGTCTGGGTATTACAGGGTTAAAACCAATATTAAATTCCGAAAATCTTTTTTTTTGCTAAAACTCTTTTTTTTTTAATGGTATCAAAATGGGGGTAAAGCACAGAGTCCGGGGTGGTAATGGGCGTATTGTGTCCTAATTTCATGGTTTTCGGACAATCGGTGCTGGTGTCACGGCGAAATTCCACTTTTTTCTCCTCATGGAAGCCGTAAATTGACTTAGAAAAAAAATGACGAAAGGCAGGTGACTAGTACAAACAACTTGAACGAATGCAGGTATCACCTTGAAATTTTCAGGGTACCTAGGTACCAACGTGAAAAGTTGCTCGCCGGAATTTAGTACTCATGGTACCGTTGGTTCCTGTGTAGCGCATGCGCGAATTCAAAACCAGCTAAACTCGAAAACAACCTTGTCGGCACGGAAAACATCAAAGGAGAAATTCGAATTTTTGAAATATTCAAATACCGAACACTTGACCATGATCCAGGCTATTGTGTATGTTTTCAAGCCCATTAATGTGGATTTTTCACTATTTTTCATTTTCAATTCAAAATGGCGTCCATCAGTTGACCTAAATCAAAACTCTACTGCCTACATTTTATGGGCTTTCCTTCAGGGATTTGGAAAATATAATCCCCTTGTCTGTAAGTAAAATATCAAAAAAGCCTTAGCGATATTTCACATTTCAAGATGGTGGCACTTCCGGTTTGGGCTACAAACTCCATTTTTTGTGTACGAATCAGTAGTGTCGTAACTAGTAAAGAAATACAATTTCAAGGCAATAGGACCTATATTTCGTTGATTTTTTTTAAAACTTTGATCCTTAATTTCATCAAGGGGAGATAATACAGAAAATTTCTAATGACATTTTTCAAGTTGTATCGGTAAAATCTACTTATATACTGAATTTCATGAAAATCGTGCAACTATTAAAGAAGTTGTCAAGTTGATTTTAACTTCCGGTTCGAAATCACAGCGACAAATTTTTGAAATTCGAAAATCCCAAATAGAGGATTTGAAGTAAATGATTCAAGGTACTCAAAGAATTTTTTTTTAGTAAAATAGGTCAAAAAGTCACAAAGTTACAGCAATGTAGGTCAAATGCATTCGTTCGTAAAATTCGGTGATTTTGGATGTGTAAAACGTTTTGAAAACATACCTATTCCAAAGCCACCACCCATTCTTGGGGGAGGGTATGTCAAAGTTTCAGAAAGATCCCACGGTTAGATTCTGAGATATAAGAATTGCAGGAAAAACACAAAAAAAAAAAAAATAATAATAATAATAATAATCTTAACAGAAACAATAAGCTTTCATATGTAATACATATGAAAGCTTAATTATCAAAGCCCTTAAAAAGGCATTATTCAATAGCAGGTCTTTCTTTAGGCCTTAAATGTTATATAAATTATTAATTAGACATTATTTAACACACCAAGACCATAATCAACTCTTGATGCCATCGGTTGCGGGATATTTTCAACAGATTTAAATACGATTGACCTTTCATGATCTAGGGGGATTGGGTGGCCGAATGATTAATGTGTGCACGTTGCATCATAAGGTCCGTCATTGAGTCAAGTAGCGTGGTTTTGATTCCCCGCTTGTACGTGACAAGGTGTAGGGTAGTCTGAAAATATTTTAGTTTTCTTTAGAAACATGTCTTTGATCTCTTTGTGATAAATACCATTTTTTGTGTATAAGAACTTATGAAATGAAATGGAATGGGCTTTAACGTCCTACTGTTCTGCCTTGACTGATCTAATGAAGACAGGCATACACCATACAGTGTGCTATGACTGAAATTCTGCCCAGACAGCAGCACTACAACATGCATGCCAATGTGTACATGGGACCTCAGTTTTCCATCGAATCCAAACAACTAGATGTTGTGCTTTGAACAGGGCGAACCACACCGAAAAATCCTGATAAAGGTCAATACAGGACCTCTAGGTTTGTGAGCCAACTTCTTACTCGAGTCACTGCGGCTTCCAAACTTATTAAAGAAAGAGAGAGAGAGAGAAATGGGGTTTAACATCCACAAACTAGGTCATTTCGGGACTAACATATGGTTTTAATTTTATTTCAATAATTCGCTTGTGCGTAGGGGTCTTTAGCAGTGGGAGGAAACTGGAGGACCTGGAGAAAACCCACGAGGTTGGACAGGCGACCCTACTCCATACTTACTGTTCCTTCACAAGATATACCAATATGATCTGGTGACCATCTATCACCCAGAGTAAACTTTACTTCATCTTTTGTAAATGGTTCAGGTTTCACATGAGCTGGCTAAAAATACATTCAAAATATTACAAATTCTATAGCTTGGTTATTAAATGGTTATTTTTCGACAATGTTAAACTAAGAGTTGCCGGACAACAAACATCAATTACAAGGTTTGACATCAATTTTGAAAAAAAAAAAACCCTTCAGTTTTCCAAGTTTTAAATATGAAAATAATATAATTTTTCTATCTCATAGACATAAACTTTCTCAAATCTGATTAAATAACACATCCTATTTCATTTCGTTTTTTATAGTTCAAAATTTTGTTTCACTTGTCTTTAATAATACTACAGTATGGATCTGGAAGAATTGTTTTATTACCAGCAATTTGGTTGAAGTGAGGGATATGCCAATGAAACGGTCTGTTACGGCGACTTCTTGGCATGCCATGCACAGAATTGTGGGTAAACCACTAGAAATGTCAATGCTGATTGATTAATCAATATCTCACGTCACAGGGTCAAAAGCCGCTCGGTTGACACATGATGCAACCTTCGAGTACAAGTTGTCAGATCTTCATCTAGTGTAGGCCATCGAAAGTATAAAAAAACGAAATGAAATATAGATCTGTATTTTAATCAGATTGCTTCAATTTCAACATTCACATCATTATACTTACCATTTTCAGGACAAAAAGTATACAGGGATTGCCTGCATGGTAGCCATATTCTTTATGAGTCGTACACTGATCACCCAGATCAGCAAGGGTAAATCGACACACTTTATCCCCCGGTGCATAATCTTTGCTACATCTAGTATACACAGAGTTATTAATTTGGTGCATTACATGGTAATCTGGTTAAAGAAATTGATAATTAAAAGACATTCTCCACAAAGCTCTGATATATGTTTACATTGATTAAGATTTAACTCAAAAACTAAAATGGGAAAACATGGATTAATTTGAGCAGAAATTGGTTAAAAATTGGGATTTCCTGATCCAGACTATGTTTCTGTGTGATATTATCTAGTTATTAAATAAAGATATATTAAATACATTATGTAAGAGCTAAATCTGTCTATTGCAGGTCTTTCTTTAGGCCTGAAATGCTATTTAAATTATTAAACACATTATGCAAGAGCTAAATCTGAATATTGCAAGTCTTTATTTAGGCTTCAGATGTCATAGAAATTATAAATTAAATCTTTATTTACACAACAAGCACAAAATCAACTCTGTAGACCTACGGATGGCTTGGATTTAAACAGGATTTAAACAGGATTTCATTGATTGATTAAATTTTTAAATGGCATCGTAAGCTGAGATTAACCGTTACGTTGACGTCATACTCCCGGAAATTTTAGATCAAGACTAAATGATAGAGTGTACGAAGCGAGGCCGCTGTTGATCGAGGACGCATGTCAGTCAATTTGATTGAAAGTTCAATATATACGGCCTTGATATTATGTTTAGTTGTGGTTAAAATGAGAGTTTGGATGTCGGTATTATACGCTCTTTTGTCACTTGCGTTTACAGAAAAACTATGGAAATTGATAAACATCGCAGCTAACACCACCCCAGTTGAATTGCAGCCCCATTGGATCACTGTTTCCTATATTTGTCTGCTTCAGGAGTTACGTAGGCCTACCAGTTACAGTACAAGAAGAGTACACGCAGGCTAACAAGAAGTCGGCTATAATTATGCCTCATTGATTTGGTCCATTCCTTTCAAACTTTTGCTTCTTATCTATATATTAAAGTAGTTAAGTCCGTAACTCAATATCATCCAAAATCTTCGACATTGAAAACACGAATTTTTTTGCAATTTAAATCAGCATTGGTGTTGTGATCTTACCTGGAAAAGATGAGCTTCTGATATCCAATATTTAAGACAAAATAAACATTTTAGCATTGGTACATGAATCGTGTACCATAATGCGTTTCAGCGCCATTTGTAACAAGGTGCTCAAAGAATGAGGCTAGACATATTCCACAAGGCATGTCAAACGGTGATATCATATTCTTATTTGGAGAGCATGCGCAATAAATAATATCGGCGTTGACTGGAATAACCAGACGCTAGAAACTGATCTGCGGTTGAGATTTCTGGCGTATTTCGCCGAACATAACAGATGACAATTCACAGTAAAACGGACACGATTGAATGTAAAACAGTTTATATACATTCATATTACATTATTATATCCGCTGCGACCCATTTGTGTCAATTTTTAGGTCCAAAATATTAGCGATTTAGATCCTTTAAAAGTCTTATTTTTAATTTGTAGTAAAAATAAATGTGATACAAATTGAATTGCAACCCCGTCTGAAATCGAATAGGCTAACGGTACCACAGCCATTGAAAATGTTACTTGATAATCGAGATTATGTAGGTGGAGTTGACGCCTGTCAATCAAACGATCGGCCATTCTCGGAGATGGTGAAGAGAGAGTCGACTCCTATTTCTGGTCAAAAACTACAATGGTGATAACTTCTTTCATCATCTATTTTTGAACTGTTATAGCAAGAATGGCCAACTCTCTATTAAAATCTCCCATAATGTATCTTTAATTAGACATTAAATAACTGATCCAGACCATATAATCAACTCTTGATGCCAACGCTAGCCAGTGATATTTACTGGATTAGGAACCCATTTGCTCAACTTTCATTCATGATTTAATCATGAAATGGATAATCAAGACTTTGTTTTTATCGTACCAACTTTAGTAATGATGATCGAGGCTAGACTGATAATTCAATCGCTAGATTCCCGGGTTTAGAGTGGATCAATTTGACTGAAATTTTCAGCAAATTCCCTTTATATTGTCTAGTTTTTAACTATTATAGTGAGAACTGCCAGCTCTTTATCTAATCTCCCATAATGTATCATTAACAAACTTTAGTACTGGTAGATAATTAGGTCCAGACCAACATGCCTCGCAAATCCATCAAGGATCCTACATTAGTACATGTACCAGCTCTTGTGTAAGCCTAATAGTTTTTGGCTATTTGAATTTGTTTGCACAACATTGTAATATTCTTCATATTTACTCACCAGATAAATATCCATTTAAGAAACTATAGTAATGTCTATAGCTATTGTAGATCATTGGTCGGAATTTAATCAACACGGTTTCATCCATGGGGATTGGATAAAACTGTAGTCCTGAATAAGAGAAAAATATCTGGACTTAAATAGCAATAGTATCATTATATCATAAAAAAATTCACAATTTGTTAAGTTAATAAATGATCTAAGCTACATCTTCCAACACTCATAGCTTTCCTCAGAATAAAGTAATTTGAATGAAATTTTCAAAATATCCATTTTTTAAGATCTATTTTTGAGAGAGAGAGAGAGAGAGAGAGAGAGAGAAATGGGGTTTAACGTCCACTCGACAAAACTAGGTCATTTCGGGACTTAACATATGGTTTAATTTTATTTCAATAATACGCTTGCGCGTAGAGGTCTTTAGCAGTGGGAGAAAACCGGAGGACCCGGGGAAAACCCACAAGGTTGGACAGGCAACCCCACTCCTTGTCACGTACAACCGGGGATTCAAAACCACGCCAGTTGACTGAATGACAGGCCTTATGATAATGTGCTAACCATTCGGCCATCCAACCCCCAATTAATTTTTGAACTATTACAACAAAATTGTCCACCTCTTTATCTAAAATCTTACATAATGTACCTTTAAGTTAGCCTTTTGTTATGTTAAGGCTTGTATGGTAGTTTATTGTTCTTTGAAGCTGCTATTGTATGTGTTATTTATGTTTTGTGATATTATGATGTGCTTTTCTAAACAGAAACATATTAATGTTATTACCATTTCTGTAAAGGAGAGCAATGATTAGAGATGGATGCAATTGGAGGATGGACTTGTGTACCGGTACTTGTCCTTGATACAGTGCGATTATCATTACCAACAATAAGATTGGTTATGTTAGAAGTATGGGAACTTCCACCATGGGGTTTAACACCCACTAGACACAATCTATGTTACTTTGGGACTAACACATGGTTCAATATTATTCCAATAATTTGCTTCCTCGTATGGGTATTTATCAGTGGGAGAAAACCTGAGGACCCAGAGAAAACCCACGAGGTGTCACGTTCCGATATGGAAAAATTGTAAACTTGGAGAAACTAAATATGGGACACATTGCCCTGCCCACAATATCCTGCAAAAGTCACCTAATGATACAATATAGGTCATGTGCACAAATCTAATGAACACTATATATAACAACTGCATAGGACACAACCTCACAACCTTCATATTCATAAAATGCTTAAAAATAAACATTTAAGGCCAAATTACAAATAATGATGTTTAAAAACATCACTATTTGTTGGGGCTTATAAATATATTTTCGTAATTTTTGGGAATATATAAATCTTGTTCTTTGTTAGTGCCAATGCATCTGTTTATTTGTATTGTATGCTTCACCATTGTCGTGTATTTACTATGCAGGTGTGTATAATACATAGCATATTACATTGTTTACATGTTAATATAGAACTTGAAAAGTCCTTTAAAACATACCATTTTCCTTTGACATATATTTATCATACTGTGGTACTTTAGGGGCTGGTGGACTTCCATGGACGGATACAGCAATAACTGAAATAACGATGACTAAAAACAGAATGGCTAAGCCAACAGCTACGAAAAGAAACCATGGCTTCTCACGGAGGTTGTTATAGGTGTTTTTAAACCTGAAAGGTCCACCTTCTTTAGGTCTATAAAACTGTATATTATCAACTTGATCATTATCAAACTCATTAAACTGAGATGATTTCGTTACTGAAACGTAACCAGCCGACATGACAGCAAAAATTATTGAATCCACAGAATAAAGGATAAAGCAGGCTAATATCAAATTAATCCCAGCACACCTGAGTCATTCAGGTAAATACACTGTCGCTCCATCTAGTGTCGGTGACATAAATTAATGGGTGTGGTCGAAAACAACTTGACAATCGTGAATAACCTTAAATGCGCATGCCACCAAAACTGAGTAAAGCTTATATTTTTTTATTTTCAATTTCGGTCAGATATCGCGTCACCTGCATTGATCAAAGGTTAGTTATAAGTGCAGCATATTAATAAGGACAGTTCACAAGATCGGCCACGTAAAACTTCACACGGCGCACCTATTTACGACCGAAGACCGCCGACACGAAAGCCCGAGAATTTCCATCGTGTATCGATTAAAACTACCTAATCGCACTCGGTTAATAAGTGACCAATTTCATTTAAAAATAGAAATTATACAATGTACTATAATAAAGCAGTTTTAATAGTTTAATTATTTTGAGACTATTTTATATTTTGTCGTGCTATCCGATAGGAAATGGGGTTTAATGTCCTACTATACTGTTCTGCTCCGACTGCACTAATGAAGACGGAGTCGTTCTATGTAGGCTATATCAATGACGGGCTGTATTATCTTCAAAATCACGCCCCGAAAAGAAAACACCCAACAACAAACGACAAACAAGCCCCCCCCCCTCCCCGCGCACACACAAAAGAAAAGGCGAGAGCAATAACAAAAGGATATGAATCATGATATATATTATCTACAAAATTACCCTCTACACCCCCTCCCAAAAAAAAACACCCTACGACAAACTATATACACCCCCACCCCCGACAACGAATGCACACATAGATTTTACAACATACATGAAAATTATATAAAAAAAATAATAGATAGGGATTTGGCACCCACTTCTACATACCCCCCCCCCCCTCTAGTTTTGGGTCTGTCTAGTGCTTCAGTATTACGGCATACGGGATTAACAAACGGTACGATTTTAATTCAATAATTGCGATTAATACAATGGGTGAGGTCAGAACAAAAAGTTAGTGCTTAGAGTCTTTAGAAGTGGATTTAAGGGGGGGGGGGGGGGGTAAATGGCCGCGATATCCAAAAAATAGTATATATTCATAGGCGTACGAGACAAGGTGGCAGTGGGGTCGGGAAATCTGCCTTTCGGGCAGACGGGTAAAGTGAAAGCAACGAATTTGTACTGAAATGACTATGGAATAAAACATTTTGTCTGGGGTCACTCTGAGCGACATTTTTCGGGCATCGATTATTATTTGTGAATGCAGCTGAAATAGTCTGTTTGGATGGTTGGAATTCAGGTCGGCATAGAGTTGGATTTCGGTTGCAAACCGATTGGAAACTTTTAAGTTGCCTAATTCAAGAGCTAGAATAGCAGAAAAACGCATTTACGGCTGTTAAATTTTCAAAATTTTCTCTGGAGCGCGAGGTCCCCATTACCCACATGTTCCTGAAGCAACGACTGCGAGTTTCACAACATCTGGGATAAGATGTAAGCAGTTACAGCGAGATCAAGCCTTCTATATTGAAGATGCATTACCCAGGGGTCCGGGTTATAATTGAGGGAGGTGCCACCTGGAGAGATAAATTTTGATGTGTTTTTTCTAGACCCGTTTTTTTTAAAATTCTGAACAAGAATATATGAGGTAAACAGGCTGTATCCTGAGTAAGAGCTTATTTATTCTAAAATTTAGTTAAAGGCAGTTCTTCCCAGTTTGTATACTTTTTAAACTTATTGTTATATTATAACCTTTTCTGGAAAAAAAAACGAATTTCCTGCCATTACCTTTCAGTATATAAGTTTACAAAGGTGTCTACCGCTTGTCATGTGGTCATGACATTTCCCAGGACCATCAAAGAAATAAGCTTAACACATAATGTGTGCTTTTGATGTCATCCTTGATCGTCATGACCAGGTGTGACGACCCAATGTATAGTGTTATAATGAGATTATTTATTTATTAAATGTTTAAATTACGTACAATGCATATTGATGTTGATTTATCTGTTTGTGATATATCAATAAATTTTTTATCTTATCTTATATATTGTTAATAAGCATTTACTACGCTTAATTGTGATTAGAGTTATTCATAAAGCACCTTCGTAGGCTTCTGGTTATTAAAAAATTTATAGGTCTCCGGAAAAGCTTCATAATTTTTTTAAAATAATGCAAGTAAGTATGTCAACATAATATGTTGACATACGCGTAACACGATCCCGAATGTCAATATTACCTGCAACAGGTAAATTTCAACTTTAGTAATTTCCGCCGTTCTCCGTGGGTAGTCGTAAGTTTCCGTCAATAAATAATTCGTGACGCGATTTTAGTTCTGCTCATATTCTAATCTACTTATTATAGTATATTTCTATGAGCAGAAGAAAATGGCCTCACGGATTGTTTATTAGCATTGTGTTAGCATTCATTATGGGATGGCGTGGGATTGTGGATGGCGCCCTAGCTTTGGACCCGGCCCCTATTCACAGCTTCTATATCCGCTATTTGCATGAGCAACAAAGTAAACTCGAGCCAGTCAATCTGATGTACAGGTTAGAAAAAAGATTACACTGTGGGAAAATAAAAATAAATTTTAAAGTTATGTCATGACTATTTTCAACAAGCCAACAGTGAGGCTGATGTCCCCCGCCGAAATAGGAAAATAATTAGAGGACACATATAAATTTATCACAAATTATCTTTTACAAAGTATTGAACAATCAAACAGTATATCTTTACTTATAGTCTAAGCATACAATGTTTTTGATGGAATAATTATAGCATATTAAGGGGAAAACATACTCAATTCGAAGGAGAGTTATTGTGTTCCAAAGTCTCAGCAAATCAAATTGCTTATCGCTCTGCTTAATCTGAGCAGAAAATGCTCATTATCGATCTTAGTCAAGGTATTACTGTAATGAAACTATACACCAAGTTTCATCACTCTCACTTAATTAGAACTAAAGTTATAGTGTCCCAAAGCATCAACCAATCAAATTGTTTATCTACTTAATTAGAACTAAAGTTATAGTGTCCCAAAGCATCAACCAATCAAATTGTTTATCTCTGCTTACCCTAAGCGGAACGGACAGACAAACAGACAGACGGACGAACCCATTTTAATAGTTCCCTGCTTTCTTCGAAAGGCGGGGGACAATAAGCATGAACATTTACTCAATTCGAAGATCAACCAATCAAATTGTTTATCTCTGCTTACCATAAGCGGAACGGACAGACAGACAAACAGACAGACGGACGAACCCATTTTAATAGTTCCCTGCTTTCTTCGAAAGGCGGGGGACAATCAAAGTAGGAGAGTTATTGTTTTCCAAAGTCTCGACCAATCAAATTGCGTATCGCTCTGCTTACCCTGAGCAGAAAATGCTCAATTATCAAACTTAGTCAAGGTATTACTGTAATGAAACTATACACCAAGTTTCATCAATCTCACTTAATTAGAACTAAAGTTATCGTGTCCCAAAGCATCAACCAATCAAATTGCTTATCTCTGCTTACCCTAAGCAGAAAATGCTCATCTTCGAACTCCATCAAGGCATTGACCTAATCAACACATACACCAAGTTTGAACATTCTAGCTCAATTAGGAAGAGAGTTATCGTGCCCCAAAGTATCAACCAATCAAATTGCTTATCTCTGCTTACCCTAAGCGGAAAATGCTCATCTTCGAACTCCATCAAGGCATTGACCTAATAAACACATACACCAAGTTTGAACATTCTAGCTCAATTAAAAGTTATCGTGTCCCAAAGCATCAACCAATCAAATTGCTTATCTCTGCTTACCCTAAGCGGAAAATGCTCATCTTCGAACTCCATCAAGGCATTGACCTAATCAACACATACACCAAGTTTGAACATTCTAGCCCAATTAGGAAGTGAGTTATCGTGTCCCAAAGCATCAACCAATCAAATTGCTTATCTCTGCTTACCCTAAGCGGAAAATGCTCATCTTCGAACTCCATCAAGGCATTGACCTAATAAACACATACACCAAGTTTGAACATTCTAGCTCAATTAGGAAGAGAGTTATTGTGTCCCAAAAAGTGTGACGGACAGACAGACGAACCCATTTTAATAGTCCCCTGCTTTCTTCGAAAGGCGGGGGACAATAATACAGTTTCACACTATACACTAGCAGGATACCCGGCTTAGCCCGGGGCCCACTTTCACCCGTGGCCCAAACTCGCCAGGGGCCCAATTCCGGGGCTTGAATTAGCTCGAGGTCCAAATTCGCTCGGGCCGCAAATTCGTCCGGAGTCCAATTCACACAGGACCCAAATTTATCCGGGGCCCAATTCGTTCGGGACCCAAATTCGCTATGAGCCCAAATTTGTTCAGGGCCCTCATTCGTCCGGGGTCCAAATTCGATGACCTAAAACATTCACGGGGTCGTGCTGGTTAATTTGATATTTCGTCGGGATTTTTCGTTGTCACTCAGTGGTGCCGGACGGAGCACCTGGAAATGAACAGTGTCTAGTCGTTCGGAAGGGACAAAAAACCGTGGTCCCGTGTTAAAGATGTGGTTTATATAAGAATTCGACCTGCTGAATCCATAGATAACAAACTACTGAATCCAATGAGCTTGGGTACCCTCCCAAAAGTGACGACTAACTCCGCTAGCGTCCAATTTCAAAATGTGGTCTCATTTTGGCGGGAAAATCATAAATTTCTCCCTTTTCGAACTGTAATATACTGAACTATATTCTCGTGCTCACTTATTTTAGATATAAACATAAACGTAATGTTCCGACCAAACGGTAGCCTAGACAGCTATATTCACGTTTAGCGGGAAATTTCGATGTTGATAATGTGACGGTGTAATACGTCAGGTTTTCGGAGTCGCCAAATTCATATATTTGAACAGCAAAACGTGCTATGACTGAACGAGACGCCAGTGTGGTTCTCAAATTCGACGTAATAGCTAAGGTTAGGAAACTTTGGAAGAAAATAGTAATGTAAAATCTTCTGTATCTTAAAGAACTAAGAGCACGACTCAAACCAGTTACGGTAAATTCAGGTTTCTCTATGCCTGGAATAACTTGCAAAATTCGATATTTTTCTTTTATCAA